CCTCACCCCAGAAAGTGTAGCGGTTACGGCCCAATGCAAACCTGGAAGGACTTGAGCAGTAACGTGAGACCACTGATTGAGGCGGGGAGGGCAAGAAGGTGTTTCGGGAAGGAGATGGGCCAGAGTTGGAACGTACGGGCAATCTACCTTCTGCGTACAGCCAGGGGCCTGATCAGGCGGCGCACGAGCCTCGGGCCGTGGCGGTGCAGACGGCGGCGGTGCTGGCGGTGCCCCTTGTAGCCACAGGGGCGGTGGCGCAGGCGGAGGCGGCCTTGTCAGCGGCGGCCCTGGGGCCCTGTGGGCGACTGGGCCCACGGCTGGTGCAACCCAGCCTGCGGCGGCCCGGGCGGGGGCGTCGCTGGTGGTGGTGGCGCTGGTGGCGGAGCGCGCCTGGAAGCACTAGCGAACGGCGCCAGGGGCAAGGGCGGCAGCACCAGCTGCCCCGCTGGTGCGCCAGGGGCACCGTGAGCGGGGGCAGCGCGAGCGGCAGGGGAGGCGAGACGGGGCCGCCGTAGGGAACTGGCGGCCAGTTCGCCGAGGCGGTTCGCGTGTGCTAAGCCAGCTGGCCGCGTGAACTGAAGAGGGCAACACCATTGCGGCTGCGGCTCCTGCCTGCTGGCAGGAGGGGGACCAGAGAGGAGGGAGGAGTCCACCCGCCCATGTCGGCACACCCCTCAATGGTTTCGTGGCCCCACAACGAGCTCCACCGGCGGCCTCGCTGGCATGATAAATTCCGCATAGCGTCCCCCCGCCCATGTCTAGGCACACTCCCCACACGTTTCGTGGCCCACAGTGAGCTTCACCGAAGGCCTCACTGGCATGGTACCGCATAGCGTCCCCCCGCCCATTTCGGCACCCTCTCGCGCGCCTTTTGGCCACAGGGCGATTCTCCTCTGTCGCGGCCTCATTGCCCATGGGGAGAGTGCAATTTCCTGCGCTACTCGCAGACAGTTTTGGTTGGACCCCCCGCCGTTTTTGGTTGTTGTTGTTGTTGCTGCTGTTGTTGCAGTTGTTGCTGTCGTTGCTGTCGTTGTTGTCGTTGTCGTTGTCGTTGTCGTTGTCGTTGTCGTTGTCGTTATCGTTGTTGTTGTTGTTGTTGTTGTTGTTGTTGTTGTTGTTGTTGTTGTTGTTGTTGTTGTTGTTGTTGTTGTTGTGGTTGTTGTTGTTGTTGTTGTTGTTGTTGTTGTTGTTGTTGTTGTTGTTGTTTTTTGTTGTTGTTGTTGTTGTTGTTTTGTATTCCAGAGCTTTCCAATCATTTTGGCTTGGAGGCTCTGTTTTCGGGCCCGGGACAATCGGCACTGGATCTGGGACGAAAGCTCCACCTGGGGAAGGGGTCGACACCACCTCCGTCCCTGAGATCCAGGCGTCGAAGAAAACAAGGGCAAGCCTTTCGATGGCTTTGGCCTCCTCTGGAGACCGTTTCGCAGCCCCAGGACCATCACAAAGCGATTCGGACGAAACGATGACCTCCTCTGGTAAAGCTTGGGGTTGCGCGCAGACAGACCCCGAGGTAACCCTGGCTGGTCTCAACAAGCCTCCTGAGCACTCCGGGGCTGACTCAACACCACCTCCGGCGGTGCCGGGTGGGCCTCGGCTCGGGAGCCTTGAGACGGGGGTCAATGTAAACGGGGGTCGGCCAGAGCGCCGGACTTTGCAGGATCTTGCAGAGCCAGAGGTGCACTGCCCCTGGTTTGGGTGCAGGATCCTGTAGGATTTTGCCGGATCCTGTGAAGCCTGAGTGCGTCCCCGATCGGCGCCCCAGAGTTGGTTTGCTGAGACAGCCCCGGGCTATTCGGAGGGCCTGTTGAGGCCAGCCAGAGCCGTGTGCGCGCAAGCCTGAGCCTCACGATGCTCCTTCCTCACCCCTTCGCAGTCTTGTCCCTTGCTCTTCACATGCTTCTCCTCCTCCTCCTCCTTGTCCTCTGCCTCTTCTCCATCCTGCTCCTCGTATAGTCCTACCGCGCTCCTGTCGTCATCTGCGAGCATGGTCTCATGGCGTTCTCCTCTCTTCGCTGCTTCCCGCGCGGGGTCGGGCAACGCGCTGCATGGAATCGGTGCTGCTACGGCTGGTGACCAGGGTGGCGCAGCCACAGCCGAGAAAACACCACCGCAGCTTACGTCTCCCTCGTCAGCCTCTCTTGCCCTTTCCCTCCATCCCTCTCCCCTTGCCCCGCCCCTCCCCCTTCCTCCCCCTTTCTCTCCCTCCCTCTCTTCCGTCCCCTCCTTCCTCCTGCCCCCTCCCCTCCTTTTCCTCCTCCCCCTCTCCCTTCCCGTTGCCCTTCCTTTTTCCTTGCTCACGCCCCTCCCAGGGACCTGATGACGGGCATGCTTCGCGATTGTTGCGCATTCTGATCGCCGCCTGGACATCATCGGCACACGCACGCACACATTGGGCACATTTTAAAAGAGTTGGTCCACATGCGATTCACATATTTCTTCGTTGTTGGGTTTGCGTTAGGTCGTCCGTCGGGCCACCATTGGGATACCATCGGGACTTGATCGGGACACCAAGCGGGATGCCAGACTCACTCTTCAGTCGCATATTGTTTGCGATGGATCTGGATTCGAATCACCACCAGGACGCCATCGGAACACCGCCAGAATATTAAAGGCAGTGTCTCCAAGACGGATTCGCAACGAAGTTAATGTACGACCTGCGTTTGGATCGCATCGAACTCACCGTCCGAATACTTTGAGGTACATTAAGCGGAACATCACGGGCTGTATATTGACGTATGTTCATCTTTGCTTGGTTCACAGATGCTTTGCGCTTGATTTGCCGTCGGTTCACCATCGGGATACAGCCGAGAAACCCTAGGAATGGCATTGGAACGCCATCGCAATGCTTGGAGCTCAATCGAGACCTCGTAAGGATATCGGTAAAACCCTTCGAGGAAGCGTCAACATATGACGCTCGTCATCCCGCCGGCCCATCGTTGGCACTTGCCTGGGTACTCGCGGGGGCCTCCGGAGGCCTTCGTAGGGCCTATTGGAGGCCTCTCGTGTTCTTTTCAGGCGGGTCTTGGTGCCTCTGGAGGCCTTCTCAGGGCCTTTGGCAGGGCCACCTTGGGGGGAAGTGCTCGAATTCCCAATTCGGGTTTCCCCTCTTGGGCCCCTCTTGGGGGCCTCTGGGGCCCTCTTGGGTGCCCCTTCCGTCTTGGGGCCCCTTTTGGCCCTTTTTCGGATCCTCTTAGGAGGCTCTTGGGCTGTGTTGGGGCGATCTGGGCACCTTTTTGGCCGTCTTGGAGCGTCGGCAAGCCGAACATGTGAGAACGCTGAAACCTTTGAAACAACAGAGAGCACGTTCCTGATTTTGGCCTCCCGGAGCCTCCTTGGGAGCGCTCTGTGAGCGCTCTTGGGGCGATTTGGAGGCCTCTTGGACCGTGAATGAACCCATCTTGGATGTCTTGGAGCTCTCGCACGCCAAAATCATTGATCTCCATTTGGTGTTTGAATGATTCTTGTATTCTCGCTTTTTCCAGGCTGCCGTCAGCCCAAAACAGCCCAGTAGGACCCCACGATGGCCCGAGAGGCATCCAAGACGGCCCATGAGGGGCTCCCGTGGCTCCTGGGCTCTCCTGCAGGCCCCCTGGGGCGCGCCTTGAGCGCTCTGGGGGGGGCCTCCCAGGCCGCACCGCACCCGAGAGGAAGATCGTTGCGGCCATCCCTTGTGCCCTCGGCAGCTCCGACCCGAGCCCGGCCCTCGTCGTGGGCAGGCTTTTCTTTTGCTTCGAGCTTCGCCAGGCCTGCCTCGGAGGGTAGGGTGTCCTTCCGGCGCCACCCCAACATACTTACACTACGGTAGGTTCGTGTGGCGTTGGCGCGCTGGCGACGCTCGCGAAGGTGTTCAAGGTTGAATGTTGCGACGCGGAAGCACCGACGGACACGGTAACGCCATTGTGCCCGACTGAATTCAACATCGGTCGATTCAAGGTTGAACGATCGGCGCGGTGTCAAAGAACTTTCCGCGCGCCGACGCCGCGCGAACCTACTGTATATGTGCATCGCCCCCCCAAGGGCGACGCGCGCACCGAGAAATCTTGTAGTACATGCGTCGTGGCGGGCGCTTTCCGGCCACACCGCTGGGGAAACGATATACTAAAAGATGTGTATACTATATGTTCGGGTCGGACGCGCGCCTCCGAGGAGGACATCTAGAACTAGTATGTCTTTGCGCGTCCCATCCTTGTCGAAAATCTTCATGCCCACCTGGACGATCCTTTCCTGGAGGTTGGAGCCGAGGTCTTTCGGCTTGCCCTTTTGGTGCGCCCAGGCCTGCAGCTCTGCCAGCCGCGTGACCGCTTTTCTGCCGTGCAGGCAGCTTCTTTCGAGCCAGCATTGGCTTCATCCAGGGCCAAAGCTGCGGGGGAGGTGCTTTTTTTTGGATAATAATAATATTAATAATACTAACAGAAACCTGCGGGGGAGGTGCTTGGGCACACTTTGCCTGCACACGAGGTGCCTTGAACTATGTTCCACTTCTTCTCGGATATTATCTTCCTGGGAGTAGCGCGCACCAGGATGACGACGATGATGATGACGATGATGACGATGCTGACGATGATGATGCTGATGATTATGATGATGCTGGTGGTAATGATGATGACGATGATGATGCTGATGCTGATTATATTGATGATGACGCTGATGATGATGCTGATGATTATGATGATGATGATGGTGGTGGTGGTGTTGATGATGATGATGATGATGATGGTGATGACGATCACGATGAGGATACTGATTGTAAAGATGATGATGGTGATGATGCTGCTGATGATAATTGTGATGATGCTGATGACGATGTTGGCGATGGTGATGGTGGTGGTGATGGTGATATGCGGGTGGTGATGGTGACGTCGAGGAGTCATGGAGCGTGTCCTTGGGCGAACATTCCAAGCCCTGTGACGACTCTTGGGTATAATGACGTGCATGCCCTCAGAAGGCCGTGGCGTAAGGCGGGTCTGAAAGCGTGGACGGGTTATCCAAAGTGTTCCTGAGTGTGTGTGTGTGTGTATGTGTGTGCGCGTGTAGGACCCGCATTCGGCCGCATCTTCACGTCTTGACCAAGTTCCACCCATAATTGTTATGGCTCAAGACGATGTTGTCAGGCATCCAGTGTTTTCCTGCGGTACGACACCTTCCCAACACTAAGCTCCGAGAAGTCTTGTAATGCCTCCCAAAGAGGCGCGTGCAGAGACACCTCCCCAAAAAAGAACCCCGACTATTCCAGCTGTGCCTCCCAGTAAAGCAACGCCAAGCAGCGGAATGTTGGTCACAGTGATTTTGATTGTTCTGTGGTACGTCAGTTCAATGTTTGCGATTACCACATCCAAGTTGACTATGCAAGCGGCGAAAGTCCCACTGGTGCTTTGCGTCGTGCAGTTCACAACCGCCACCGTTGTTTCGGGCACGGTGCTGGCCGTCCAGGGCTTGTCAGCTGGTCTTCCAGAGCGAAAGGGCACCTTCGTGCTGGGTAGTTGTTCTCTTACCTACACTTTGGGCTTCTTCTTCACGAACTTGGCGTTTTCCCTAGCACATGCGTCCTTCGTAGAGACGGTGAAGTCTGGGGAGCCAATCTCCACAGTGGTGCTGGCGTACTTTCTGCTGGGCGAGGTTGAGGGTACCGCGACGTATGCGTCGCTTTTGCCCGTGGTGATTGGTGTAGGGATGGCCTCCGCTGGAGAGGCAGGCGGCACTATTGCTGCGTTCATGGCCACCGTCGCCTCGAACTTCGGATTCAGTGCGCGCGCAGTGTTTGCAAAGCAGCTCAAGCATGACCATCCACAGAGTCCGCCAGCTAAGAGCGACGTCTGCTTATTCTTCCACATCTCTTGGATGGGGCTGATTGGCCTGCTTCCTTTGGCAGGCATTCAAGAGGGGCCGAAGCTCCTTGCAGCCTTCAGCTCCCCTGAGTTCGACCTCTCCAGATTTGTATCGGTGATTCTTCTCAATGGTCTCATGTACACGGCGTACAACCAGTTCAGTTTCATGGTGCTCTCCCGCGTCAGCACTGCGACACATGCGGTGCTTAACGTGTGCCGGCGGGTTTGTGTTATTGGGGCTACCACATTGTTCTTCAATACCCCCCTAACGCTTGTCAACATGATTGGTATTGGGGTTGCCGTCGCAGGTATGTTCTGGTTCACTCATGCGAAGAGTCAGCCTCAAAAGAAGCCAGAAACGATGAAGCCAGAATCGAAGAAGCAATGATGATAACACAGGTGTCTTGGTGATTTGTCTGTTTTAATTTTCCAAATCCATTTTCCACTGTACATGGAGCTGACCGCTACGCGTCTAGGCGTCTGTTCCAATTAGCTGTAAGAGCCAACGTGGTCAGACCGTTCAGGGTCGTGCCCCTGCCCGTGCAGCGCTACTTTCATTCGACCAGGAAGAATGTTCGAGGGCAGAAATCACCAAAGAGCCGCATCTCTCACTGAGCATCCGTGGTCAGATCGGGCCAATCCATGGGTGCCCTCGATTGCTTTCCGACGCAGCAGGTCCAATCCCGAGTCTGTTCTGGGGAACCCCGCTGGAGCAGGAGGAGCAGGAGGAGGAGGAGGAGGAGGAGGAGGAGGAGGAGCAGGAGGAGGAGGAGCAGGAGGAGGAGGAGGAGGAGGAGCAGGAGCAGGAGGAGGAGGAGCAGGAGGAGGAGGAGCAGGAGGAGGAGGAGGGCCCGATGCTGGGGCTTCTGGACCACTCCCGGGCCGCACGCCGAGACCTCCGCCTCCTTGGCACGGCGCGCGCTCGCAGGCTCCCCGGAAGGGTGCCCACCCGGAGGCCGTCGTGCGCAGGCGGCTGCCGTGGAGCGCATGGGGCGCACGGCCCCGACTCGCGACCCCAGAGCTCCTGGCTTCCTTGCCTCGAGCCGGGCCTGTCCCTCCACGGGGGGAAAGTTCAGACATGGCCAAACAATAGTATGGGGATGTTTTTTTTGTGTGGGGAAGTTCAGACATGGCCGAATAGTATGGGGAGGATTTTTTTTGCGAGAATCTGAATGGCATTTCGGCGTATTTCTGGACTAGTTTTCATGTTTTCGTCCAAGAATCCCCCCGCAGGGGCACATGCCCGACCTGGCCCTTGTCCTCGACCCGGGCCGCTCTCCGCCCCGGAGAGCCGCTCTTGGCCGGCCCCACATGGGGCCCCGCGAGGGGCCCCGGAGGCTGGCAGTCGGACAGGGCAGCGCCCGGGATGGAGTCGGGCCTGCCCCTCTGCAGGGGGAGCCCTAAACTCCCCCGCAGAGGCCCCGAGAGCCCTCTCGTGACCCCAAGAGGCGTCCACGAGGACTCCGACCCAAAACCCAAGCACGGTGGCGGGATGGGCCGCGCCACGTCACGACTTTCGATGCTGCGCGATCTTCGGCAAACTCCCAGGGAGCGGCCGGTGATGCGCCGCCGGCGTCCTCGATGGAGTCGGGCCTGTCCCTCTGCAGGGGGAGCACTCCAAAAAAAGGTCGCAGAAACAGTGTGGGGACGATCCCTCGATTATTTTTGGGCTGTATTGGAGCATTTTTTGGCTACTTGTTATTTCTCGCCGGGCCTGTCCCTCTGCAGGGGGAGCTCTCCAGAAAAGTCACAAAAGCAGTGTGGGGGGACGATTCCTCGACTATTTTTGGACTATGCTGGAGTATTTTTGGGCTATTTTTTATTTCTCCTCGGGCCTGTCCCTCGACAGGGGGAATATGCCAAACAGTCGCAAAAACTGTGTGGGGACGATTCCTCGATTATTTTTGGACTATATTGGAGTATGTTTGACTATTTTTGATTTCTTGTCCAGAACCTCCCTGCAGGGGGACAGGCCCGACCGAAGCCCAGGAATCCACAGAGGCCACCTCGTCGCAGATCTGCTCTTTGAATCGAAGAAGAACAAAACTACGTAAGCATAAGCTTTTTGGCGCTCCGCGCGGATTTCTTGGATCCGCGCTGGGCCCCCCCCAACGGCGCCTCCGGCGCCGCCCCTGGCGCGCTCCGCGCGCCAGGGAGGGGGGTCCAGCGCGGATCCAAGAAATCCGCCAACAGTTTAGGTTTATGGCGTTTTTTCTTCTTCTATTGAAGGCTTTACGACCCGATCGATCCGATCGACATCGGCTCCGACCAGCCCGATTTGAGTCGATCCCGATCTTCCAGCGATCCGGCGCGGCCCGGTGCTTGCATGGCGCTGCTGTGAGTCCAGGCGCCGCTGATTCGGCTCGATTCCGACTCCGTGCTGAGGCGGTGCGATTCGATGCACGTTCTGACCCTCACCGCCCACCAAACCACCCCAACCCAACCCGAAGGCCTCAATTTGTCTTCCATTTCCAGTGAGGGGGGTGGGTCGGGGAACATCGACAAAAAACACACATGGAGCCCATACCCCCCCAACCCGAAATTCGGGTCTTCGGGTTGGGTTGGGGTGGTCTGGCAGGCAGTCAGACCCGATCCCGCTTCCTGGCTCGAGGCTGGCTGCTCCTGACAGATCCACGCTCGCCGCCAGTGCTTGCCGCACAGCCTCGGACGGGGCCGGGGCGGGGACAGAGATCTCCGTTCCAGAGCGCTCCGGCAAGCTCTTCGTGGAGTCCTCCTGAATGCTCTGATCGGGTGTTGCTAGAAGTACCCCTGGCCCAAGGTACCCCCAGGATTCTCGGGGTGGCCCAGACGGCCTCCAGGGCACCCCTCACGAGGCCCAGAGGGCCCCAGGGGCTCAAAATGGAGCGAAAAGCTGGGGGCACCTTGGGCCAGGGGCACTTCTAGCAACACCCGGTCTGAGAGGAAGTCGCGACGCGCGATGCGTTCTCCAGAGCCGCCAGGTCTGCGAGATTCTCGACTTACAGTCGAGCAGCTGATTAAGAAACCTCCTCCGCAAAGCTGGGCCAACGTTCCTTAACCAACCTGCCAGGAAGCTGGCCCAGCTTCTTGAACACGTTCGGCCCATCCGGCGTCAACGCGAACACTTGGCCCAGATTTGTCTTACGCGAAACTTTGGAGAGCTGGCCCAGGTTTCTTAAAATATCGTTTGATTGATCATATGCTCGGATTTCTCTTCGCCCGACTTTATCCTCGTCCTGGCTTCGTTTGGCGGCCTTCTCGCCGCGCGGCCCCGCGGGGCGGGGGCGCCGACCGATGGCGTTCGCCGCTCGCCCCGGCGTAGGCCGCTCGCCGCCAGGGGGCGCCAGGGGAGGAGGTGGAGGGTTTCTCCGAAGGGCTTAGGCGACCCGTCCTCCTCCTCCTCCTCCTCCTCCTCCTCCACCTCCTCCTCCTCCGTAGCCATTTTGGCTCAAGATGCCAGTCTCCCCTGGGGCAGACGTGGATACCGCTAGTCCGCGGCTAGTCTTCGCTTCTCCGCCGCATTCGCCTGCGGTGTGGAGTGCTGCGCCAGAGCGTAGCACCGAGCGCGCGGCATGGGACCCGTCAGGCACGAGGGCACCCCGAGGAAGGAGTCGAAGAAGGACAAGAAGGAGAAGAAATCCAAGAAGGACAAGGAGCGAAGAGACCGCTCTGACTCTCGTTCATCAAGGCGTTCGAGGCGGTCCTCGCCATCAGAGGGGTTCTCGACTCCACCCGCTTCGGGCTTTCGTCATGCTGGTGATCGTCTTCGGCGTCGAGATGATGTTGGCGATGAAGCGATGTCATGTGCTGCGGGGAGTAGGGATGGAGGTGGGGCCCAGGCGAGAGATGCTGCGCTCGAAGCTGCCCTGGACGCCCTCGAGGCAGCCCCCACCTTCCCGTCCCAGGAGATGGCTGGAGGTGGACAAGATGGAGCAGGTCGTCAGGCGGTTCCGCCTCGTCCCCCTGCCCCTATGGATCCATGGGCTGAAGGACTTGTGGGCGGACAGCTGGCGGACCTCAAGCAGCAGGCCCTCTCCGAGTTCTCTGCGATGGCGCTCGAGACCCTCACGCGGGAACTTCCGTCAGCGCTGGGGCGAGCTGCTGGCCCACTCTTCGAGAAGCTTGAGAAGAAGTGGGCGGACGCGGTCAAACGGTTGCAGAACCAGCTGGACGAGCAGGGCGGCAGACTCACCAACGTGGAGGGGCACACGCGGGTCCTGGAGCAGCGGCTGGCTCATTTGGAGAAGGAGCTCGATCTTGCACGGGCTCGTCCCCGAGAGGTACCTGTCGCGTCATCTGACTGGGACAGGGCTGTGGACCACACGATCCTCGTGGTTCGGTCCCCCGACCTGGTGCCCAAGGCCGGCGTCGAGGAGGCACTCTCGGGATGGCTCAAGGACGCCAACTTCACCTTCGGGAAAGAGGTCGAGCTCTTGGGTGACGACATGGGCAAGCAATTCACGGTTTCCTTCCTGGGCCCCATGCAGGCTACGAGAGAGTCTCGACGGCGTCAGGCCCAGGGGGTGCTCAGGTTTCCGACGGGAAGATGGAGGGACTTCGCGGTTACGGTCGGCGGGCGCAGATCCCCCATCTTTGTCTCCGTGGACAAAAATAGGAAGGAGGTCGCCACGGAGATGGCGTGCAAGAAGTTGCGCAAGGCGTTGCAGAGCGAGATGGGCATCATCACGTTCATCGACAGGGAGGGCGGCCAGTTGCTCTCGAAGTGGGAGCCGCTCGCGAAGATCACCCCCTCTTCGGCTACGCGTGTTCCGAAGGTGGAATGGAATCAGGCAGCGCTGGGCGATTTGGGGCTGGGCCATCAACAAGTCTCTGATCTTGCCCGTAAGACGTTCGTGGCTCGTGATGTGCAATGGTGTGGGTAGCACGATATTGGGTTCAGTGTCCATCAGGTTCGCGAGTTGGAATGCATCGTCGCTTCTTCATTTTAGTCCGAGGTTAGCTTCCAGGCGGGCGGTTTTGCTCGCCAAGCTGGCGCAAATGGACACGATTGTGGCGGTGCAGGAGACGCATGGCGACGCTGGAGCGGTTCAGGAACTATTGCATCGTGTCAGAGTTAGTCATCGTGCGTATCAGTCTCACAGTGGGCCCACGCAGTCAGATGGACTTCTCACCCTTGTTCCCGTGAGAGACAATTTGGAGGTGTCTGAGCACGTTGTGCTGGTCCCTGGCAGAGTCATGTATTTGAAAATTCGGTGCACTCTCAGTGGCTTCGTTTGGTATCACTGGAACGTTCACAATCATGGGATCGACTGTTACAGAATCCACGCCATCAGCATGGTCATCGTCAAGCAACTGGCTGAAGTAAGACTTGATCCGATGATGTGCTCGGTCATCCTGATAGGCGACTTCAATCTTTCAGACGAGGCGGGCGAGATGGCCACGGCGTTCAGGAAAGCAACGCCAGGCCCTGCAGCTACTTCATACGTTGGCGGCTTGGAGAGACATGTTTCAGCCTGCGCTCGTGCCTCGTCCTCTCGCGCTGGCAAGGCTGGCGACAGCACCTGGAGGAAGATCTTCAGGAAGATGACTGAGCTCGCAGTCGACAAGCCCACGCACTGGAACGAGGGCACCCAGTCCGCTGGAAAAATCGATCGCTGCTTCATCGCGTCGCCTCCTTGGGTTCTTTGCCAGACGCATCAACACTGCAGGGTGGAGGGGGGGGTGGAGGA